TTTCTCGTCCCCGATTTATGCGTGTTGTTTTTTTTTTAGGGGCATCGGATAAGACGGAATGTCGGATAAGCGAAGGTCGGTTAAACGAGACTCTACTGTACCAGCATCTCCTATATAGTTTGCCACCTCTGCCTCTGGCCAAAATCTGAAGACCCCTCACGCCACCCTGCTGTCTCCTTTGGCTCACCTTTCTTCTCAATCACATCCACCAGCCTACACAGCAGAGGTGGGGCAACCTCTGGTGGGGCAAACTGCTCGGAGAGTTCTGGAAGTGTCCCCCCTGGAACATGGGGAGAGAGAGAGATCAGCAAAAGGCCTGAGGTATTTGGGGAAAGAGAAAAGCAGATCTCAAAATGGAAGAACTTTTCGGTGCAATCCCTTTTTTTTTTATGGCACAGAGAAGGGAATGGGAGTCCTATAATGGACGAAGCAGTTGTTCTGCTCTCAGAGTTAGGGAGCAATAGCAGGGGCCACAGTCCTTGCCATTAAGTGACAATTTCTAGACGGGTTGCCTTGATTTGCTTGGCTTACACAACATTCCTAAATCCAATATTTTGATAAAAACAGAGAAGCTACTACAGTACCGTCTTTGAGGGGTTAGAGTTGTTCTGGAGTTGGGCAGCGCCAAAATCCAAATAAATAAATAAATAAATAAATAAACTTAGCAATACTTTCAACAACAACATGGAACTCTCTCCCAAAGATTTTTTCTACTTTCTCCTTGGTTTTAAATAAACAATGTATTTATGAGAATTATTTGGGGGGGATGACCTGTACCTGATTAGAAACTGTATTTGATAGCTGCCTATTAAGGCACAGCTTCAGTACACTTTGACTCTCTCATCAGCTGTACCTCACAAATTACGTTAGCAGTCTCAGATATTTTCAAATGAGAGAAGTGTATATGTTTAATTGTTTCTAATGGTTGTTTATACTTGTTTTTAACTGTTTGTTTTATTGTACTCTGCCCAGAGTCACGTTTGTGAGATGGGCAGCTGTATAAATTTGATAAATAAATAAGTAAAAGTGTCCATTGATAATAATAATTATTAATATAGCTAGCGCAGCATCACAATGCAGAGAATGAACTATAAACCACAAAACCCCATTTGGGGGCCCAATGGCTGAGTTCATACAACACATGACATTAGGTTAATGTTAGGTATTCACCATAAGTGTTCCCTTTAAGGAGTATATCATTATGATAGAACACATTTCAGGTG